AGGCACTCTTAAATGATCTGCCTCTAAAAGCATTGGATGTAGCATTGTGCAATTAGGTTTTTCCTTATTTGCTTCATTGTACTACCTGTGTATATAGTTTTTACCTTTTATGTAGCATATAAACTTTGGGGGAGGGGAGGGGAGGGTGGGGCTGAGGAATTGGCATGGGGGTGTATGAAGAGCTTGCTTCCATTTAGAGCAAGGAGAAAAATATTTGACTTGCATGGAGAGAAGCAGTTTGGGGAAAGGGTTTGAATTGTTTTCTTTAAAGATGTAATGTCTCTTTCAGTGAAAATTGATACTTCATTTTAAAAAATCATCCGAATTTGAACACTGGTTGCAAATAATGGCTAATTATTTTTACATGAAGCTTTTTCTCATTTGGGAGACCTGATAATTCCGTTATATCCTGGCAAATGGCCTTTTTTTTTTTTAAACAACAGCAAAAAACTGTCCTCAGTCCTCCCCCCTTCCATCCCCAGTTCCTCTTAAAATTGGAATTTACCAGTTAATTATTCAGCAGTTAGGTAATCATTGCAGGTAATTCTGGGCAAAAATCTGGGGTGAATGGGGGGAGTTCTGAATGCTCAGAATTAACCGTCTAATTTTTTATCAGGTTTGTTGAGAAATTTTCTTTATTTGGACTTTGGGCTATGTAGACACAGTCAAAAATGATTCTAAATCCTTGGATATTTTAAAGATCTGTAACTTCACATAAAAAATAATGAAATAATTTTTAATTTAAAGCTTCTCATTCTGTTTGTTAATTTGCCCAAAGGAAATGGTGTTTTTAAAGGAAAGTGTGTAGAGAAAAGCACACGTGGAATTACTGAAATGGATACTACATCTTTAAACAGTATTTTTACATTGCCTGTGTATGTGTATGAAACAAAACCATTTGAAGTGTACCTGTGTACATAACTCTGTAAAGACACTGAAAAATTATACTAACTTATTTATGTTAAAAAGAGATTTTTTTTTTTAATCTAGACCATATACAAGCCAAAGTGGCATGTTTTGTGCATTTGTAAATGCTGTATTGGGTAGAATAGGTTTTTTCCTTTCTTCTGTTAAATAATAATGGCGATGCTTCAAAGGTTGCATACTGAGCCAAGTATAATTTTTTGTAATGTGTGAAAAAGATGCCAATTATTGTTACATATCAAGCAATCAATAAAGAAAACTTCCATAGCTATTCATTGAATTGAACTGTAATGTACTTTATTAGGCTTGAGGAATTTGACCTGGCATTCTAGTCTTACTTACACAAATATAACATGAAGTGGCAAATATCTTGATAATTTAGGCCCACGTCTGAGATGATGTTTATGTGGCTCTGAATGTAGTAGACACTATTTTCCACTTAGTTCTGTATGAGTGAGCAAAGCTTTAGACGTGAAGTGGAAAAGCCACATTTTCATATAAATAAGATTGTCAAATCTCCATTAGTTCGAATATTTAGGTCTTATAGGATATGTGTCAGAACCAAAAATTTTTACGTAAGTGTAGGCTGGCTGATCACACATTTGCAGGATTGAAAATGAAAGTAACATGGTGACTTCTCTAAATTCTGTATTTACACATGGAACTGTTGTGAGAAATGAGAGCAATTGTTCAAAGTATTACACCTCTTGTCCAAAGTATTAAGATATACATAGGTCCTTTAGAAATTGGCATGCATTCCACACTAATTTAGATAGAACAGGTATTCTTCAAATTAAACTGGTCATAACAAATTCCTCAATTTTGAAATTTCCTGGTTCTAATCTACACAACCTAAAACTGGTTAATCTAAATACCAAATCTGAGGGTTTCGGGCCCCATATCCACATGACAGAGATAGATATTTTTTATTTAAGTAAGAAAAATTTAAACAAGGCATTTTAAAGTCAAATTTACTAAAAAATGCCTGTTATTTTACATTCTCTTAAAAATGTAGCTAAGGTGTAAAAGTAAATTATTTTTTCTAGGCATCTGCAGATGGTTAAATTGCAAATATCTGAATTTGGGTTAAACTGTTTCCCTCAAATAGTTGCATTTACATTATTGCACCCCAAAAGGGGCTCTAAACGAGAGTTTCAGCTTATTTTGACCTGAAGTTGCTTAAAAAAAAAAAAAAAAAAAAAAGGTTGACTCTCTTCGGCTGCCGGGAAGGGAAAAAGAAGGTCCTTTGGTGGCTGGGCTACATCTTCCAAGTAGGTATTATTTTAATTAAAGGCTAAAGGTGTTTTTGTGATTCTATTCAAAACACGCAGATGGGGTGTTTTTCAGGAAGACACTGAGAAAGCAAGAAAAACAATTCAAAATGGGGAGGAAGGAATGGAGAGTCAGGAAATAATGAAATAAAATTAGTTTCTCTGAGCCAAAAAGAGTACTTTAAAAAAGGTGTCCCTGACAGAGGAAAAAAATCCTCTTAATTGCTGCCTGTACCCCATTTTCCTTTCTTCAAGAGTCATCTTTCATGTGAATTTTTAGGGACTGCGTTTTAGAAGTGCTGGGCCAGGAAGAAGTGGATGCTCGCCGCGCCAGGCACGTTCACAGGAACACAGCCCCCAAGTCACCGGGTCGGTCCTTTACACGTCTGTGTCAACTCTCCAAGTGCGTCTCGGCGATTAGGAGCGTCCTCTCCCCGGCCCCGGCCGGCGGGGCTCGCCGCGGCGTCCCTATGAGGGGCTGCGGCCGCGGGCGCCAGCCACCCGCTCCCCAGGCCGGTGCGTCTTCGTCTCCCCAAACTGCCCCAAAGCCCCGCACCCGATCGCCCCGGCAGTTGCGGGGTCCCGCTGGCTGGCGCCCCGGGACGAAAAGCCCATCGAGTCTCGCGGCTCGTCTGCCACTTGCAGCGCTCGAGACGCCGGGGTCACTGCGCGCAGTTCCCGCGCCCGGGGCGTCCGCAGGCCGTGGAGCGAGGCTGCGCCCCGGCCCGCGCAGTGGCGCGGGGCGGTTTCTCACAAAACTTTCCTCCCTCATCATCTCCCCTCTGGGCTAAGAAAGAAGGGGAAGCCCCCACTCCTTTCCACAGTCATACCCCCCACACCAGCACCTTGCCAGTTCTAGAGCGGCGGGGGGATCTGAGCGAAGGGGAGAGAACCTTTCCGAGTCCGTGGACCCTTCAGGGCAGCAGCCCGCTCCCACCCCCACCCTGGGCTCCAATGATCCGCAGCCCCGCGCATTTCGAAAGGCTTCTCGGCTCGCCGGCGGCCAAGGAGGACCGCAGCGGCGCGCAGGAGGGGCCGAGCGCCATAGCCGCTTGCGGGGTCGCTTCCAACCTTACAGCTGCTTTGCAAAGTTCCCCCCACCCCGCCCCATCGCATCCCCCGCTCTCCAGCGCGGGGGACTGGGGCAGGGAAGAAATAGGAAAATGTGGGGCCAGGGGCATGACGGGGACGGAGGGGACCGTGGAAATTCACAGGACTGGAGCGGGGCGCGCGGCCTTTCAGGCCACGGTGCGCCCACCGCCCCGGCCGCGCCGAGCGACCTTTCCCGGCGGCCGGGGAACGCTTCCTTCGCCATTTCATCTTCATCATTGTGAGCGTAGACACTTGCCCTTCCTAAGCTTTTGTGGATTGAAAAGGTGTTTTAAAAGCACGTCTGGGATCTCCAATCTGTTTTTCAGAGTATGAATTTCTTTTTTTAAATTTGCCATCTCTTTCACCTGAGCCACACCCTACACCCTCTCCCCTCCCTCTCCGCCAACATTAAGGTAAAAATCCTGCAAAAGAACTGGGAGGGGGGGCGGCAGGGAAGGAGGGCCCAAGGTCCTGCTAGATCCCCTCCACCCACCCGGGGCGGGGGGAACCTCCCGGATCTCGGCTCGCGTGGGGGGGGGGGGGGGGGGGGGTGGGGTCAGCCTCAGTCAGACCCTGCAGAAGCGAAAGTGTAGTATTTGCACGGACACCCAAGTCTCCGTGCGGCCGTCCGCGTCCCAGGCTTGTCTCGCGTGGGGACATACAGGAGGCAGTTATCAGAAAGCACAAAATACAAAAAGAAATCGATGCGTGTTGGGCGCGAAACGTCGACGCGCCTCAAAGGAACGCGAAGAAAAGGCAGGGAGAAGGGCGCGCAGCCGGGACGCGGGGCCGGGGGATTGCATCATTGCAGCTCCCCCTCCAGAAAATGGGCTCCGAACCGCGGCGACCATCATGGCGCTCGGGTCCGGCCGCGCTTCCCGCGCGCCTTCCCCGGGCGCTCGGGCCGCGGGCACTGAGCCCCAAACGAGCATTTTGCAAACATTCCCCCCACCTCGGGCGCCTGTCCCCCCACCCCCTCCTTCCTTTTGTGTGCCAGCGTATGTATGTGAGTGCGTGCGTCCATCTGAGTGCGTGTAGGACTCGAGAACTTGAAGATTATTTTTTTTTCCTCTTTTTTTTCCCTCCCGTGCTGGTGGTTGTAAACTTGATTGGCATTGGCTGCGCCCACTGACCCCTGCGCCGAGTCCACTGAAGATTTAAGGTGGATCCGAAAGGCTGCGGCGTCAGGCGGAGTCTCGCGCTTTAGCTGGTTTGGGAGGAAAGGAGAGGAAAGGAGAGGAAAAAAAAAAAAAAAGGCCCCGAACCGTGCGCCCGGCGCGTTTTCACGAATCCCCTGCGGTACCAGCCCCCGCGCCCGCCCCGCCCGCCGCGCTCTTCCTCCGCCCACCTCCCGCTCCTTCCCCATTGGCCCGCCGGTGCAGTTTGAATTTTTTTTTTTTTTTTGGATGCTTGTTTTCTTGTAAAAAATACAGTACCCCACCTCGTACAACGAAACCCACTTCGGCGGCCGGAGGTGGAGTGTTTTAGCTGGGGAGTTTTGGGGAGGCGCGGGGGCGGAGCATCTGTGCCAACATTTTGCCCCGAAGTGCGGTTGACATTATGCAGGCGGGTGGAGGAGCGTGGGGCCGCGGTAAACAAACTGAGTAGCTCCGGCGGGGGCAGAGATGTAGTATAAAACGTTAATGGATGTCCAGGGCGCGCCGTTTCGCCGGCTGCTGGCCAGAGGTGCTAGGGAGGCGCTGACAGGAGCCCGGGAGAGGATGCACCTTACCTTGCCTTGGAAAGGTAGACTTGGGGAGGGCTGGGACTGGGGGTGAAGGTGGCCCGCAAAAGAACACCTCCTCACAACCAAGGTGGGGGCGGGGGGGAAGAAGAAAGAAACAGGGGAGATGTAAATATAGGTCAGGTCTGTTATTTCAAGCGCTCCTCAGCTAACATGCATCATAATTCAGCCAGTTGCTGTCATTTTTATTGGATTTAAAAAAAAAGTTTTCTCTCTTTTATTTCCAGAGTGCTTTTGAGTAAGGAAAATGTTAAAACAGAAAAAAAAATCGAGAAAGGGAATATGACTTTTAAAGTGCCTTTGGTTTCTGGGTCTGGGAATTAATTCTTTTGATAAAGTCCTTTAGGATTTAGGATAATGTTATTTGTATTACAAGTCTAATAGAAAAGATATCCCTTACTAATTGTAACTCAATTATGTTTTAATTTGCTGTGAAAATTTCAAAAGTTTATAATAATTCAAAGTATTATTCAAATCACTCTATCTTCAGATTAGTGAAGCCAGCATATGTACATACATTTTGGGGGTCTGTTACTTTTCTTGCAGTGTAGCTAACGATTTTAACCAGACGCCCAGCCCAGCCTTCAGCCCAGCCTTCAGTCTTAACAGTTCCTAACTTCCCCAGCCATGTTTTAGTTCTTAACTCCTCCAATCCTTCCTAACCCAACTAAGCCTTTACTTGCTCAACCTAACTAAGCTCCTTGGACCACCATAAACCAACCTACCTGTGCCTTTAGTAAGGAATTTGTCTGAGTTAAGAAAGCCCCCAGATGGACTGGCTAGCCTTAGGAAGCAGTGAGTTCATCATTCCTGAAGTGTGAATCAGGTACTAGTGTGGATGACTCCTTGATAGGGACATTGTAGACAAGAGACATATATCAAGTGAGTGTGAGGACTAGATACCTCCAAAGTCTGTTCTAGACCCTGGAGATACTGTATTTCCAATCTTGAACTTTATGGATATCCAGTAAATTAAGCAATTTTCCTTGGTCTTTACCATTTTCTAGAGTTGTACTGTCCAGTGTGGTAGCCAGAAGCCGTTATGTGGCTGTTGAGCATTTGAATGTGGCTAATCCAAATTGAGATGTGCTGTAACTGTGAAATACACACCAGGTTTTCAAGAATTAGTGTGAAAAAGAATGTTAAATACCTCATAAGTAAGTTTTATATTGATTACGTATTGAAGTGATCATATTTTTGATATATGGATTAAATAAAAAATATTAAATTTCATCTGTTTCTTTTTACTTTTTTAGTGTGGTTAAATGGACAATTTTAAGTTGCATATGTGACTCCCATGATATTTCTATTGGACATTGCTGTTCTAGACCAACACCTATGATAACTTGAAGCACTATCTTTTTTTTTTTTTTTAAGATTTTATTTATTTGACAGAGAGAGACACAGCGAGAGAGGGAACACAAGCAGGGGGAGTGGGAGAGGGAGAAGCAGGCCTCCCGCAGAGCGGGGAGCCCAAGGCGGGGCTCGATCCCAGGACCCTGGGACCATGACCTGAGCCGAAGGCAGAGGCTTAACAACTGAGCCACCTAGGTGCCCCTTGAAGCACTATCTTTGAGAGTGGAAACTAGTAATACTGAGGAGTAAGTAACTTCTTGCTGCCATCCGAACAAACTCAGCCTCTGGAAACTTAAAAAAAAATTCTGCCAACACCTAACACCTACTGTTTCATCCTTTAGCACTTAGTATTGGGTTTGAGCCCAGACTATGGAAATACAGTACAGATATGTCTGATAAATCAGACTTGATAACAGCTTTCCACATTATGTAAATAGACTGAGGAGTCCAATATGTTAGGAATGACTCTGAAAAACAATTTAGACCCCAAACAAGTGTCCACAGGTAACTTTTCTCTGTAGTGGACAGGAAGGCGGGGGGCAGAAGGGGCCGTGTTCTCACTCTGTGGATGGATCTCTAACGGAAGACTTGCACAAATGAAAATGTGCGCCATACTCTTGGATAGAAACACTCAACATGATAAAGATGGCAATTAAATTTATACTTTTATACTAAATTCTGGTAAATTCTGATTATCCTATTCCATTCCATTGTTCTATCAGTTTATGCAATCAGGACTATATTATTTTAATTACTGCAAATTTAGAATCATGTCTTAATTTCTGGTAGCACTAATCCTCCATACCCAACCAGTCCCTTTACTCTTCTTTTTTTCAGAATTTTCCTGGCTGCTTTTGCTTGGCTTTTTTTCCCATTTAGATTTAAAATGAATTTGTCTAGTTGGAAATATATTTCCTATAGGCATTAAAAAAAATGGAGTGGGATTCTTATCTCATATGTTATACCAGTATCAACCCCTGGAGGATTAAAGAGTGAAGTGTAAAAAAAATGAAATTATAGACATACCAGAAGAAACTTCAGAGGATTTTTAAAAAACATAATCTGAGAGTTGGGAAGGTCTTTCTAGATATGAAACAAAGCAGAACTATTAAATATAATATTGTTAAATTTAATGACATAAAAACAAAAATGTTCTGCATGGCAAAAGCTATCAGCAAAGTCAGAGACAATGACATGGGGGTGATAGTTGTACAACCATGTGAATATATTGGGGCGCCTGGGTGGCTCAGTTGGTTGAGCGACTGCCTTCGGCTCAGGTCATGATCCTGGAGTCCTGGGATTGAGTCCCACATCGGGCTCCCTGCTCAGCAGGAAGTCTGCTTCTCCCTCTGACCCTTTCCCCTCTCATGCTCTCTCTCTATCTCATTCTCTCTAATAAATAAATAAAATCTTTAAAAAAAAATAAAAAAAAAACAATGTGAATATATTTAATGCCGCTGAGCTGTACAATTAAAAAATGGTTAAAGTGATAAATTATATGTTAAACCCTAATAATACATACCTACATGCCTACATACTTAGATACATTCATATGTATACACAAATATACCATATATATATACACACACACATACACACACACATACATACACACTACTGGAAAAATTTTAAAGTTTTCCATGTTCTGTCTAAAAGAATCTCACACACAGTGTTGTGGATCCCATCCTTTGTGAGACACTGGTTTCATTTCAGGCTCAAATCAGACTGTTTGTGTTTGAGTCCCAGTCACCTAATTCATTGCCTGTAAGAGCTTTTGCAAGTTAGTTCAACTTTTAAAGTTTCTATTTTTTGGCTGCATAATGAGGATGCATTTAGCTCCCTCATAGGGTTATTAACTTGTTCAGTGGGATATTGTATTGCAGTACTTAGCACAGTACCTGTTATTTAATAAATACTAATCGTTATATATATTTAAAACAATATAACATCCAGTTCATATTTTGGATTCTCAAGTAACCAACCACAATCAGCACTATATTAACCTTGTAAATATGTTTCTCGGTTTTAATTACTGCTATTATTACCCTTAAGAAGAATAATTTTTATTGGGCATTTAATAAACAGTATATTGCAAAAAATGGTTAAAATGGTAAATTTTATGTTATGTATATTTAACGCAGTTTTTAAAAAATTATTTATTTGAGAGAGCACAATCAGGGGGAGCGGCAGAGGGAGAGGGAGAAGCAGATTCCCCGCTAAGTAGGGAGCCCGATGCGGGGCTGGATCCCAGTTCCCTGGGATCAGCACCTGAGCCAAAGGCAGACGCTTAACCAACTGAGCCACCCAGGTGCCACTATTTAACACAGTTTTTAAACAAAGCTTAAATAAGGCATTTGTTGAGTTTAGGGCCATTTCTAATTATCTCAGAAAGGACCTGGTATAGATTTGTTTGTCGTACTGAATCAATAACACGCACACACAAACAAATAGAATGGCAAACTGGGAAAAACTTCCACAACCCATATATTAAAGGACTAATTTCCCTGATAAATATAGAATTTCTACAGATCAATGAAAAAAAAAAGCAAACCAACAGAAAAATAAGCAAAGGCTATGAATGGAATTTTCAGAAAAGGAAATACAAAAGGCTCTTAAAATATGAAAACATGCTCAACTGTAGTTTAAAACTATGGGGCTATAAGTTGTATACAGAACACATAAGTTAAGGCAAATACAGTCACAATTAGCATTACTCAGCTACAAAGGTGGCCATTATCCTTTCTTGATAGTTTAACCTTTGCTTCCCTCCTTTCTATCCTGAAAGGCTGAGTGATCCCCCCCCTCCCCTCCAAGCTTCATTGGTGACCAGAGAAGCAAAGAGTTTGCATGTGTGGAAGCTGTGACTGCCTTTCAAATTCAGTGTCAAATTCCTCTCATCCAAACTGGCTAGTCTTCGACTTAGTGCCACCTTTTTTGCCCATAGAGATTCCCCCAATCAGCCTCTTAAAGTGAGTCCAGCCACCTTTCTTGACACATCTCATCGATTCCCGCTTGTAATTCCTATACATCAGCTGATAATCTGAGCCTCTCCCAAGTCACCACTTTATCCTGGCTTTTCCAAGTTCTCTATTCTCTTAAAAGCTTCAAGCAGAATTTATTATATGATAAGCACAACGTATCAATTCAGTAGACAAACTGTATTATGGACTAAATGGCATTAGGGTATAGGATTATAGGCAGCTATGTGGGAAAAATGTGAAAGCTCTCCTACAAACACACATATGCACACATTGCATTCTATATTATAGACTGTGGTTTACTTTTTAACAATTCCTTTTCTACAAATTTACTTTTGGGAAATAATCAGATATATTTACCAGAATGATCTTTATGAAGTTATATATTTGATTATAAAAAGAAACAAAAAAGTAAATAACCAAACAACTCCTTAGGCATGGGAATATGGGATTGATTATTTGAACCAACTATAGTATATACAAGAATGACACAGATTGCAGCCATTAAAACACCACGGGTTGCTTTATCTATATTCATAGGAAAAGTTGTCAATACTAAAGCAGGTACAGAGCACTGTTTATGGTATGACCCCATTTTTGTAAAACAAAAATTATTATTATTTACTCATTTAAGAAAAAGATTTTATTTATTTATTTGACAGAGAGAG